GGACTGATCGACAGGGGAGTAGTGGCTTGCAGTTGGTTTACCAGGCTGTGTTTGTGCCACTGTTGAAATAACTCTTAAGAGGGTGTCTTTGTGAGTGTGGTGTAGCCTAGTTAAGAAGGGATATTTCCATCCTGGATTTTTTTATCTTGTGCTTAGGAAAGCTGTTCTGTCTAAAGTAATGCAGTCCTTATAAACTTACCATATACAACAGCGGAGTAGAGATTTAAACCCTAGTTACTCCTGTAACTATATGAAGTGATACAAGATGAGGGCTTTTTGGGGATTTTTTTTCTGTCAGTTTTGACTCTTGGGTAATGAGTCCGCGTTAGTCTCTTCTATGCTCATGAGAAGTCTTTTTAATCAGAAATGGATGTTTTGGAAATTGAAAAATGATCACTGCCTACTGCTAACGATGGGTTCTGCCAGAGCTGACATAACGAGTTTTAAGACAGACTAATCCTCCCAGAGTGTTAGGGTGTTGGTTGCTTAAGGGAGTTGGTGTCACCAAAGAGTTATAATTGCTTTTGAATCATGGTTTACTATAAATGGGGTTTGTTCTTCCCAGAGGAGGAGAGTGTCTGTTTTTTTTTTCTTCTTAATTTTAAAAAGTTAAACCTCTTGCATTGCCCTTTTTAGTTTGTCTGTCTTTTTTCCTTTGAAATAGAAACAGTTAAGGACTAAACGAAAGTTTAGTAATACTGCCTCTAATAGTTATGAGGGTTGCTTTTTTGGTGACTCTTTCTTGAGCTTCTGCACTGCAAATTTCTAATATTCTTTGAAGTAGTCAGCTGCTGTTAGCCTAACGGTCCGTTTCAGACACTTAACAGAAATAGTATTTTTCTGTAAAAATGAGGATCAGTTGTTTGTTTTATAGTCTATGAGGGCAGGAACATGTGGATTTCTGATGCTGTGAATGTAATTTTTCCCATTTCCCCCTTTAGAGGAGTGTATAAGGCGTAAGCAAGCTTTTCTGTCCTGCAGGCTGTTGTCCCAGGGCCAGCTGAGCACCCCTTGCAGTATAATTACACCTTCTGGTACTCCAGACGAACACCCGGGAGGCCTACCAGCTCGCAGAGTTATGAACAGAACATCAAACAGATTGGCACCTTTGCCTCTGTGAGTATATCCCTGTTGTCCTCGTGTCACCTGGGCCTGGCGTGGTCATCGTGGCTGGCTTACTCCCTGTGTGCTAGGTGTATGCACGTGCAGGCTGTGCTCTTGTCAGGAACAGAGGAGACTGAGTGATTTGCCATGACTTACATATGAGTTCTTCAATTGTCTACAGCAGGTGACATGTCTTAAGCAGTTCTCCTCTGCCCTGTGCTAGGCATCTGTGCCTGCAGTAATGGTGGTAGCTGGAATAATAATAGAAAATGAAAAGAACTCCCATGTAGCTTAAATCTGCTAGCTGCGGCAGAACTTGACAGGTAAGCAAGAGAAGAAAGGAACAGCTTTTCTGGATGCAATGTAGGTGTGAAGCAAAGACTGTACAGTCCTCCCCCCACATTTCCCCCCCGTCCGTATTTCCACCACAAAGACTGTGTGTTTGGAACAAGCATCTGGCATGCTGTATATACAAGCTGTTGGTGGCCTGTTGTCTGTCTGGAAGTGATGACTGAGGTGCAGTTTGGTGTTGCAGTGAAGTTCATTAAAAGGCAAACTGCTCTCCCTTTCCTCTTCCACTCTGTGGTTGTTTATTCCTGGAATAAATTGAGTGTATCCTGGAAAGGCAGTGTTGGGTTGTTGCATGGCACTGGCAGTGTAAAACCATCATTAAGACCCCAAGATACATAAGCAAAACGTGTCTCTCTTGTAGAGGCACCACATACAATACTATTCTCAAGGCTAGGAAGTCTGTTGGCTGCTTTCTTTTTTATTTTTTTTTAAATCTAGTAGTTTGTCCAGATTTTCCAGGGTCCCTTGCAAATGTTAATTTTGCCCACCAGTAAATCTCTATCTCCTGTTTTCTGAGAATTTGTAAAAATACCCCTTTTTTGCAGCCCCTCTGGAGGCTGCAAAAATATGCCTGTCCAAGCAGCTGGTTTGTGTTATTGCATCCATACAGGATAAGAGTGGGAAGAATAGCTCTAAGCCTATCATCATGGGTCTGCTCCTATTCCCCTGTGTGAGCAAGTACGTTTAGTTCAGTGAATGAAAAATGTGGCTACTGCTTGATGATCTGGCAGTAACTTTTCAGTCTGTTAAATCAGTGTAGACTTAACATTGATTTTTAGCTCCTTAGAGGAAAATCTTCACACATTCTGTTGTCTGCTGCAAAGAATCTGTGGGTGCTATTGTAGGTTGGAAGTGCTAGAGTTCAGTTAGGATGGAGAGAGACTGGCCAGCAGATCTGATAATGTGTTTGGTTCAAAATTCTGTTTAAGGAGGAGGAAGAACAAGCTTCAGAAAGAATTGTCTGAGCCTAAGTCTGGGTTCAGATTTATTCTTCACTTTCAGTAGAAAACTCTGAAAGGTTTTAAGTGCGAACCACTAGAGGGCATATTCACTCGGTGTAAGAATGTGATTTCCACCCTGCATTTGGATGTGTCTGACAAAAATAGATTGCTTCTGACCCCACCTCAGTCTTGGTTCATAATTTTATTGGCTATAAAAGCAAATTCCTGCTTGGATGGCAGAGGTCAGAGATTGGAGCAGAATTCCAAGTGCTGACCAAGTCATTAAGGTCTCTGATAAAGTACTTGGGATGGTGTCTGACCCCTTCAGCTTCACTGCTGGTCTGCTTAATAGCTATTGTCTTACTGAGTAGAGTCCTCTTAAAATACAGAAATTAGTTTAATCTCTTCCAGTGCCTTGTTTTGTTTTAAAGATCCAGCCTCTTTAAAATCCTTTCTTATCCAGAGAATCTCAAAGGATAAATATGTTATTTTGAAGAATTAGAAAAGATAATTCCTTTGCCTTCCAGCCAGATTATCTGAAGTAGACACAGGGGTGCCAGAATGGAAACTGGTCAAAGTGAAGTGGTCCAAGTGTACCATGGCAGATTGTAAAAGGAAATAAGAGGTATTTAAATAAAAGCTCTGAATGGTGCCTTAAGATCTTAAACCAGCACCAGAATGTGTCTTTTGTCCTAAAACCTGGATACAGTAAAATTAAATACAAAAAATGTCTCATTTGGAGGCTCCTGCAGTCTCCACGATTGCAGAGAGCAGTGGTTAATGCAGGGCTAATGTGTATAGTGTAGAGAGGCTTGGCTGTAGCTGATGGACTTGACACATATCCACTGATTGAAAGTTTGGGCAGTAGGATTTACAAGATACGTTTGGAACTGTTCTCCAGAGCAGCAGTTGTCTTAGCACAGATTTCTTCAGAGAAACACTAAGTGACTTTGGAGGCACCTGTTGAATATTTCAAGTGGTCATCTGGTAATGGAGCCAGTCCGAAACAGGCACCCAAGCTCTGATCCTACCGCTGCCTTCTGGGTATCCTAATCAACACCCTTGTGACAAGAAAGTAGAATAGAAGAGGGGAAGGTGGCTCTGGCCAGCTGGTGTAGAAGGGGAAGCCTGTTTCTGTAGGGATCTTGGCTGTGAACAGTTTGAGCAGCCTCATTATGTGGTTCATGTCATTGCAGGTGGAGCAGTTCTGGCGGTTTTACAGTCACATGGTACGTCCTGGGGACCTGACAGGCCATAGTGACTTCCATCTTTTCAAAGAGGGGATCAAACCCATGTGGGAGGTGAGTTGGAGCTCTCATTTCTGCCTTGATATTTTCCCAGAGTATTCTGGAGGGAACTTTCTACAGTGAAGGGACTCTTGTCATTAAATGGCACTCCAGACTTCTCTTGTGTGCAGTCTTTCTTCTGGGTTTCCTGTAAACTTGTCCTCAGGACTCTGTCCCGTGTAACCTAGCAGTCCTGTGACCTGCTGGCAGAGGAAAGGGAAGATGCAGGGAGTTGCTAGCTGCACTCCCCCAAAGGTTACAGAACTGCCTCTGCCTGTGGGTCCAGAGGATCTCTGGGCAATGTTGCCTGGAGCCCAACGAAGCGGGGACCCCAACTAAGCTCTGTGCTTCCTAATATAGACGCTCGCCCCTTATTATAGCTTTGTCCAGTGACAGCAGTGTGGGGCTTTCCTCTAGAAGGGCTGGACCTATGTAAGTGGAATTCAACAAAGCTTATAAGAAACCAACCCTCCTTTTTCAGACAAGAAAGGAAGAGGTGCATGTGGTTAAAAGCCTACAGCTGTATGTAGAGCCGGAGATGGAAAGAAGATTTAGTCCTTCATTTGCTTTTTTTGTTTCACGGCACTTAGTTTGCTACTGTTCATTCCTATCCAAATCTGTTAGAAAAGAAAAAAAAAATCTTTGCCCAGCAAATCATTCTTCCAGTTCCTGGCCTGCTTCCAGCAATGACCAATACCGTTCGCAATATGAGGATTTTATGTGTTGCTCTGAAGTACCTAATTATGCTGCTTGGTCCTGAGAAATTTATATGTGACCCTAGTTGGCCATTATTTTAAGCAAGGTGTTTTATAGCCAGTTACTGCAAATACAATTTATATAAAATGTTTAACCCTCTTTGGACTCCTAGTGAGCTAGCTGCTTTGATAATGTGTCAGCCGGAGAGTCCACAAGTTAATGATACTAGCATTTCTATAAAGCATTTCCCTGTAGCCATTTTAAGATGGGGCTGGAGAGATTTGCTTTTTTGCTTCTGGCCCCACTCCCTTCTTGTATTTATAGAAGAGGACCTGGGATCTTGCTGCTGGCCTTCCCTTTGCTGCTTGCTTTGTAGGGCTTTGTTTATGCTCCTTTCTCTTCCAAACTAATCCTTACTTACTGTCATTCTTACAGGCACATATATGCATGTATGTAGCTCTGATCTTTTTCTGGATTCATCTGTGCCTTTTCTAGGTAAAGTCAGAAGCACTAAGCATAATGTTCCCTGGTGATTTACTGGGCTGCAGGTCATTATTATTCTGGTAAAGGGAAATCAAATGCTTGACTGAACTGAAGCTTGTTTAACCTGAAAGAAAACTAACAATAACCGTAAAACACACAATACAGTATCTGCCTTCCAATCACTGTTCTCTTTCTGGCCTTGAACCTGCTTAAACCACCTTTGAAATATTTTGAGCAATACCATTTTCTCTTCTGACCCCCATTAGCCATTGTAGAAAGTTTGAGGAGTTAAACCTAACTCCCTGCTTAAAGGCTGAAGCCTAGAAGGCTTAATTCTTAGAGTGTGATGTTCACAACTTGGAAAACAAGGACGCTTAATCAGAAAGCAGTTTGCCTCTCATGGGAGTATGCCACATTCCTAGAACTTGTGTTGATTCGGATTCTTCACCTTGCAGGTGGCTGCTGCCATGCTTTGAGGTTTGTCCGGAGCTGATGCCTTGCCCTTTCAGTACAGGCTTTAGCTCATACCTGAAAACTGGCAGTCTGGTGAATGCTGCTGTTTGCTGGCATTTCCATGTTTGCTCAGGATTGCTCGTTAGCACTTGCTGTCTCTGAGAGCACACAAATGTTTAGTTTTATCTGAGTCCTAAAGAAGCTTTAAGGCTAAAATAAAGTTAACTTCATTTCATTAAGAAGGGTTGGGCTACCTTGCCTAGCATCTTTAAGGTGTGTCCCAGCTTGGCAGAGGGGATTGCTGGTCATTTGGCCAGGGATGTCCTGTGTTGTGCAGTCCCATCTGAGTTATCCTTTGTTCTTCTCTGTTTCTGTCCTAGACCTGTCTTTCCTTTCCCTTCCTAACTGCCACCTCTTTGATTTGTTCCTACTTCTCTTTCTTTGGCTTTGGGTGGAATTTGTTCCCCTGTTACCTTGTAAGATTTCCCAGCTACAGTGTTGTACAAGAGAATGCCACAGCGTTCTGTACAGAGGAGGAGCTGCTGTTTGACATAGGTGTGCGTTCGGTGAAGCAGGGGAGTCTGTAGCAGTTTTCAGTTTTTTCAGGTGCAACATATGGAATCACAATATTGAGGTGACAGACTGGGTGCTTAGCATAAATTTCTTCTTTACTCTCTCCCCTCGTTTTTGGTTATTTCCCTGGGTCACCGTGGTCTGGAACAAACATCCAGCTGTATGATGTGTGATAATGTCAGTGGTTCCTAGAGGAAGGACTGGTCCTTTCTGTGTTAACCCAACTTGTGAGCCCATTCCTGGAAATGTGGAAGGAAAGTGTTTTTCAACTTTTCGCTTGTGTTTAAACATCACTTTGCAAACTCTTTCACTGCCTTCCATGTTCTGTTCTTTCCCTGCCTTCCATGTTCTTTGATGAGGTATTTTTCCTGTTTTACAAGCAGAAGTACATATACAGGGGATTAGACAAAAGGGGAATCAGTCTCGGGTTTAGAAATAGTTTTAGGGTCCTTGCCTCTGGTTCTGTGTACAGATTGGTAGGCTGGTGTTAGTCTTTGCTAGTGGGATCAAAACACTAGAGCTCAAGTCTTCAGTGCATAGAGCTTCATCTGGAATGCTGAGAGTCATTGTTTCAAATACTTTGTATTCAAAGTAAGTGGTATACCTCTGTCTCTGCTTGTATGGGGGAGAAGTGAAATGCTTTTGCTCGAAAATACCTCTGCTCTGTCCCTTGCCCCACCCAATCAATATCTGCTCCTGTCTGTGGCTCTGTGGTCTTGTGGGAAGCAGAAAAATAGCTAGAAGAAAACAAATCGATTTCTTGCCCCTCTTCCTAGGATGATGCCAACAAAAATGGTGGTAAATGGATTATCCGTCTGCGAAAGGGCTTAGCGTCACGATGCTGGGAGAATCTCATTCTGGCAATGTTGGGAGAACAGTTTATGGTGGGGGAAGAAATCTGTGGGGCAGTCGTCTCAGTCCGATTCCAGGTAAGCGCTTCTGAGAACTGGCATGTACTTCCATTTGGCAGGGCTACAAAAAGTACCATCTGCTTACCCCTCACATGCTATTCTGTAGGAGGATATTATCTCGATATGGAACAAGACAGCCAGTGACCAGGCCACAACAGCCCGGATACGCGATACGTTACGAAGAGTGCTCAACCTACCTCCCAACACCATCATGGAATATAAAACACACACCGATAGCATCAAGTACGTGTGGTGGCAGGGGGAGGGCCTGCTGCTGGTTGCATGCGTGCTTGAGCAATTTAATGCAGATCACAAGAATTGAGAGAAGTGCTCGTGTGCGTTGGGGCTGTTCACTGCGAACAGTAATACAAACAGCAGCAATTGTTGCCAGTGTGCTTTGAAAGCCAAATATCTGTGTCATTATTGTGCTGTTGTTAGGGACATTTGGTTCTAATAGTAAAACCTCATTATTTTTTTTAAGTGTATAGTCCAGGGCTTTGTTAGCAATCCACCCAGCCTGTCACTTGGGAGATGGGCAGCCCAGTGTGGGACTGTAGCTTGATGTATTCAAAGACAAGATTGCAGTGGCGGGGGGGGCGAGATCATTTGAATAAATAGAGATTCTGGGGAATAAAGTGCGGAAGCTAACGGGGATTTATAGTGCCATTAGACTTATAAATGGTCTTGGGAAAGTGCTGTGTGAATTTACAGTGCTGTACAAATGATTTCTAATCATAATAAACGTCGTATATTAAGTCTTCCAGGCCCTGGTGACAGAGGCTCTTTAACAAGACTAGAAGATCATGGTATACAGAGAGGACAGCTGTATTTTTAAATAAACCTATTATAGCTTACCATACCAGGCCATTCAGGGTGACTTTTATTTCCCACAAAGTGACGAAAAATTGCATATATAGGTATTAGTTAGAGGTGAATAATGTAATTTTTTTTTCTCTTTTTCTTAAGTATATTATAAACCAATACACTGATTAGGTCATATTGGTTAAATTAACGCTTGAAAAGGTGTACCTGGAAGAAGAAGTGAAACAAATTAATAAGGCATTGATAGAGCAGTGAGCTTTCTAATCTAGCCCATAATCAGGGTGCAGGTACCTTTCATAACTTCCTTTCATTATGCTAGCTTGTCCTTTCCACATAATCACCCTGTCATCAGTGTGCTGTCAAACAGTTTGGTGAGATCAATCCTGTTTTTAGCAGAGAGCTGGCTTCCAGTTGTGGCCAATTGTGAGTGTGGGTCACTAGCAATAATACAGAGGTCTCATTTAAACTGCCTGTAGGCATGTAGGTTCCATGTGGCCCTCCCTCCTGTGTGCGTGGGAAAGAGAAGGGAAGGAGAAATTATTATTATTAAACTGAATCTTTTCCAGGCAGCTTTGGTTTCTGAAAGTTCCCACTTCTGTTGAAATCTCGTATTCATGATTTTGCCAGTAACATTTCTCATGCACTTTTTGCCAGGAGAGGGCACTATCGACTCTGTCTGTGTTATGAGTTAGCAAAGTGCTCATGTGGAGACGTAACAGGATATTTTACTCCTGTTCAGCAGTAGCAGACTGCGGACTGTGGTGAGGTGGCTTTGCGGTGAG